AAGTTTCATCAAAATCGGAGGGGGACACTTGCGTGCCTTTCCTTGTGGGTGAAAGAGCTAGGTAGCAGTTTATATTTGATTACACAAGGAATGCATCAAAGTAATGGCCAGGTTGAGCGATACTGTAGAACAGTATTGAATATGATTCGTGTGGAAGCTAATTTTCGACAGGAAGCTTGGTCTGATGTTTTATGGAAAATACAGCTCACCTTAAACCTTACGAAACAAAAGTCAACTCAATATTCGCCTCTAAATCTGTTGACGGGTAACGAAGCTGTGACACCCATCATACCATCCATAGTGCGAGATGTGGCTTTGGAAGGAAAGAGCCCGAATCGAGAATCATTACGTAATCGTTACGTGAACTTGCCCGTCAACGTGCTTCAAGTTCTCTAGACAGAAATCGTGCTAAGCAGGATGCACGTGTAAATGATAGGCGTAAAAGGCCCCATTCTTTCCAAAAAGGGGATGTAGTTTTTGTGCTTAAAAGCAAGATGTAGTTTTTGTGCCTAAAAGCAATCAATTGACTGGTAAACTGGATTCAGGGATGAAAGGACCCTATAAAGTCATGAGGGCCTTGCCACATGATCGATATGAATTGAAACTATTAGCTGGGTCGTATGGAAAGGTCACACAAGCAGCGGCTGCATATATGACGTTATGGCATGGTGAATGGACGCCAGAAGTATGTACATCCTTCTTTGAGTGTGAGTATAAGCTAGATGAAAGATGATTTTGTTTCCTTTGGAGCATCCCGAGGGCTCTGCTCATTGTGTATCGATTTGAGACATCCTGAGGGCTCTGTCTTGGAAGTATCCTAAGGATTTTACTCCAGTGGCTTGGTTGAAAGACATCCTGAGGGCTCTATCTTTTGAGTATCCCGAGGGCTCTACTCCTTTGCTTTGGTTAAGGGACATTTTGAGAAGTTGGTTTCTGGATGTTTTGAGGACTTAACCCCAACAACTTGTGAGGTAACCTGAGGGCTCTGCCTTTAAAGTTGGTTGCTAATTCAAGGGGTTGCTAATCGTACTGGAATGCTCAGTTGGAGCTGAAATTGGTTAATCCATGCTGATAATGATATTCCAGGTGATAATGAAGATCCCAAGGACGGTGTTGTTGCAGGCCCATCAAATTACACGTACAACTCCTTGATACAACCGGAAGAAGAAGCGGGCGAGGACGCGCCGCAGTCAGGAGAGGCCGTGTTAGCATAAGGGAATAAAGACGGTAGGCAGTAGTGAGGAATGTTTAACAGGATAACCGGCCATAGCGCGACGAGGGGTAAAGAACACCTTTCGAGGCAGATAGCGGCGAAGAATTCATTCTATGTCGAGCGATCGGAGCGAACAGTTGTTTATATACAACAGTACCGAATAAACGAAAGTGAAAGCGAAACGTAGAAGTTATTTAATAAGTCTAAATTTTCATTTAAAACTTTATTTTCTAATAATATGTTATATTACTCGAAAAAATATTTGACACGTATTTTTTTATCGGCGAATATCCACTTTGAAATTGTGAAAATAACCCTTAAAGTTGGGACTGAAAAAGCTATTTTCCCAAATATAATAATATAATATATAAATAATACAGTATAAAAAACATGTTAAAAATTAACATTATTTTGCACATTTTTTTAAATAAAATGTTGAACTATTTTGATCAAATTTCGCATATGTAAACTATGGGTGTAAACAAAAAATAAGGATAAATTGGAATTTTTAATTTCCCTCATGCAAAAAATATTACTATGGTTCGAGTTATGCGTACATTTTGTACCTTTTGTTCAGTGCACGACTGATTTCTGTATATAATATTCTGGAAATCTTATTATATTACATTTTTTATAGTAATTTATTTAAAAAAAGAACTTGATGGTCCAGGTTTGATGGTCATGTTTTATAGGTGACTCTATAAAACATGAATCCCAAGTCAAGTATCCTGTTTGTTCCCCGTTATGAGTGCGTACTGGTGGCAGTATTAGATACAGGTTTTTGTCTAGGCCTAATAATTATCAAATAATTATATTTCTGCTGAAAATCAGTAAATTGCTAAGCGTTATATCTCGAGAAAAAAAATATATAGTTCCATTTAAAAAACGAAACTTCACTATCATATCTTTTACATTAATAACATTAAACAAATTTTGTTTACGCCAAAACATAGACCCCTTTTACCCTGCAATTTCCATATAAACACTTTTTTGTGACATCAATAGTTCATGAAATATCGCGTTGTCACACTTTGGCGCGGACACCCTGTATATTCTCCATCACTGTAACAAGTTGTGGAGACACAATGGGTCGAAGATTTACAACCTTCGAGAACAGTCAATGGATAGTTCATATTCACCCATCGCGCGAATAATTAATCGACTCCATGCCACGACGATGTGCTGCTATTTTCCGCGCAAAAGGCATGGCTACTAAATATTAACAGTAACGTATAATAAAATGGATGTTAACTTTTTCATATTGTAAGATATCTTTTGTAAAATGATGTAGCCGGAAACTTATGCACAGACTATTTTACTAATTTTGTTAATAAATATAAAGATAACAATAAACGGCGTTCATTGTTTTAGGTTAGTAAGTATGAAAGTGTTACGCGTGACACCGTTACGTTATGATTTTATACTATAGAATACAATGTAACCGTGACAGATTAGGCCTAACCTAACCTAACCTAACCTAACCGTGATAGCGTAACGCGTGACACCGTTGCGTTATGATTTTATACTGTAGAGAGTATGATAGAGTATGATAGAGTACAATATAACCGTGACAGCGTTACGCATTACGCGTTACACCGTTACGCAATGATTTTATATTATAGAAGAAAAGAGTATGATTTTATATTATATGTAGAGTATGATAGAGTATGATATGATTCTCTATAATATAAAATCATAACTTAACGGTGTTACGTGCATCGCTTATACCATACTCTATACAATAACCAAACCCCTAAGTCAGAATTAACTAATCAGCTACAATATTTTAAAATAAAAGAGAAAAGTCAAAATGTTATGTCAATTTTGTAGTCAGCAATCTTTTACTATACCCAGGAGTTGGCCGAAATTATAATTGAAAATCTCCAAATTCAAGCATATTAAAAATTCCAAAATTTATTACAGTTGACAGGTAATTGCGTATTGTAACAATTAAATATGTCTTGATGTACATAGTACACATCGAAGTTTATACTAATGTAAATAATAATGAGTAATTTTATATTTAACATTATCTAAATACGTAAATTATACAATACATATATACATATTGACTGCATAAATACTTTTGTGGATAACTGTGTTTTTAACAAGGGGTCATTCCACCCCAAATCGATCACATTTGGAAGTCACTATCTCCGATTTTGCTCTAATCGAAATATGTTATAGTCCATGTGAAATTAGAGGGGCTGTAAGTCATCATTTATGTAGGACAGTGGCAACGATCATACTGCGAAAGTGCGTGAAAGTTCGAGAACAGCCCTTCGAGCGTGTCGTCCCGTCTATGCGTGCGTTTATGAGTGCGAGTGTGAGAGAGAGAGAGAGAATGAGAAACGCGTCGAACGTTGAAAAACGGTCGCGAGGCTTCGAACAACCGAAGATTCGCGAATCGTTCGAACGCCGAAATCGAGAATATTCGGTCACCGCGTTAATATAAGGGTGTGTCCGCGGACGAGCGAGCGTGCAAGTACGATTACGATCACGATTACGGTTACGATTTACGGCTTACGGTTTACAAATTACGGTTTTTGGACTTTTGTACTTTTGTATCTCGTGCGTGTGTGTGTGTATTTATAAATTTTCGTGTACTTTTCACTATTGTTTCGTCGTGCACTTTAATAAAGGCTTAGTTCTAAAAAATACTAATCCTACATTTATTTTCCAGTTTGTTTAATTGGACAGTGAAATGTTTTAAATAAAATACGATTATTCGTTTATCTACGTTTCAATTCTGAGGAATAAATAATGCAATTTATTTGTAACTATGTAGTACACATTTTGAAAAATTGGTAAATAAAATATGTTCAATTGTATACAATTTATAATTGAATTAATCAATACGGAAAACATAATAAAACCATTGTCCATTATACATTTATTTAAAAATAATATTCTCTCCGTATATCGTATTACTCGGTGAGTAATCGTTTCTTCAGACTCTGAGCAAGTATCCCAGTAAAACATTTTTATGATTAATATAAAGATTCGGTGGAAAGTTAAATTTTGATTACATCCTTAACGACCTAGGTTGTTTAAAAAAGGCTAATATCTGAAATTACATATTCTTATAAAAATTATTGTTATGAATATAATAATGAAACGAAATTTTTGTTTCATACATAGAAAATGGACTATATTGTTTCCAATATTTTGCAAAATCGCAATTTAATCTTAGGAATGTTTTATTATAATTTATTTCAGATTTTAAAAAAATGTTTTAAATATAATTTTATTATAATATTATAATTTTACTAAATGTATTATTTTGTCTCAATGATATCAGTTAAATATGCAATAAACGTATACTATATAGTATAATATGCATGTACAATGCCGCTCAAAAGTTAAATCTACTTTTTGTTTTTTAATAAATGTGATGTATTTTTTTTAACGATATTCATATCGAAAAATAGCAGAATATCTTAAATGTGTTTACGACTAGAATTAGAATTATATGTCGGACACTTTTTGAAAAAGACGACTAACATACAAAGTACTGTTTTATGCGAAAATTATAAAGTAAGAATATAATGTTTAACAATTTGTATCTGTGATTTGTGAACACAAACCTATTTTGTCATAAAATTCATTTTATTCAAAATTCAAAATTACTACCAGTTACTTATAACCGCATATTTACTCGTTTTATAGTGCTGTGTTGTACAGCAGACACTATTATTACATTTCCCGACTGACAAGTATATTGTATACGAACTTTCATATCTTCTTTTGCGATAGGTGGAGTTTCCATTACTTTATGGTCTAAATATCTTCGTAAAGAAAAAATCTAGCAAGATTAAGTTTTGTGACCTACACGATCAAAACACGGGCCTCTCCCCTTCCTATTCATCTAACTTTAATTGTTTCATTTCTGTAATGGTGAGTACTTTGTACTATTACGGTTTTATTATTTTGTACAAAGACAGGTTTTCCAATAATTTTGAAAGCTCTTGTTTTAAAAATTGAAGGTACACTGCTTTAGTTACGGTGTTACCGAAGAAGCGAAGTTCGATACTTTGATTTCTAAGTAATTTATACTATACATTTAAACTCCAGTGATGTTGGAAGAAAATATTTTTGACCCATGCAGGATCTTTGTCTGATGAGTAGCATATACTACGTTTATTTACTTACCCAGTATTAAAAGATATCACTTAATCGGAAATTAGAATGTGGGTAAATTTAATAGTGGGTAGTACTTTTAGTGTTTTAGTACTGTTTCAGATTTTTATGCTTTTATTTTGCTTTTTATTTCAGTCCTGGTTTGAATATTTTATTTTTGATGGAAGTTGTTTAGGTTCTTATTATCTTAAGTTTTTTACTTATCCCCGCGTTTAGCATGAAGCCTATCATTTTTAAATATATTGTAGCTTATATGACTAGAATTTAATTTTGTTTCTGTTAGTAATTATTGTTATAAACTTTATTATACGTTAACGTGTGAAACGAAGAGAAAAAATAGAAGTACGGTAAACATTCGATATCTGAAAAAATTACCTATATGATATGTGCAAAGAAGTTATCCCCACCACTAAGGGGAAGACTCCTTTAGAAACGTTCACCAAAGTACTTGTGAGATTTTCCTCATAATTCGATTCATAGTCACTTGCAATAGTTTATTGAAGTAAAGTTTTCGATTTTAGCGTAACATTTGAAATGTGTATACACTGCTCAAAAGAAATATGGGATAGAAAAATTTTAGGCAAAAATTGGTCAAATTTAACTAACGATAACTCCGTGAAAAATCATCGCAAAGTTATACTCTTTTTTTTAAATTAAAGCTTGAGATCTCTACTTTAAGACCCTGTAGTCCGATTTTGGATTTGATGCATCCCTACCACAATAACACCGTAAATGTGAGGTCATGTTTGCTATATTGAAAATTACAAAGTTTGACGAAATTAATGGATTTGCCACAATTTTTTTTGGTGATACCGTTTACAGGAGTATAAAGTACAAACCTTTATCTTTAATTTCCAGTATGTTAAAAACCACTACTATTTTTTTTTCGCAAAGATACAGCACTTTAAAGAAACCCTTGCATTTATGACATACGAGGTGTGACCCAAAAGTAACGAGACTGGTCCAATAAATCATTGTACCTATAGAATCAGTTCTCTGTGACATAATCACCTTCAAAGTAGTCCCCTTCAGCATTCTGGTAACAATTCTGGAACGAGGTTTTTGGAAATTCTTTCGGGAGATTCTCCGTTTTTGCCTGAACCTCTTCAACTGAGGTGAAATGGATTCCTTTGAAGCAAAATATAACTTTAGGAAATAAAAAAAAGTCGCATGGATCCAAATCAGGTGAATAAGGAGGATGCCCCATCACAGTAATATTTTTGCTGGTCAGAAATTGCTTGACAGACAGTGCCGTATGAGCGGGTGCATCGTCCTGGTACAACAGCCATCCATCGCTCCACAACTGTGGCCTTTTTTCCTAATTTTTTCATTAAATCTTTTTAGTACTTCAATGCAATAGTGTTGGTTAACAGTCTGATCACTGGGAAACTACTCAATCATTACAATTCCATTAATGTCGAATTTTGATTTTGACATGCGTGCTTTTTTGGGTTTTGGGGATCCTGTGGGATCCTGAAGATTTCCATTGCATCGACTGGCGCTTACTTTGTGGGTCATAGGTAAAATTCCATGTCTCATCACATGTTACAACAGATTACAACAGATTTCAATAAATTTTACAAGAAACTTGATGTTTATTCGCTGTTCGGTTTTCCGGCAGAATGCAGTTGCACGTATTCACTAAATAACACAATACTTCCAAATAGTATGACCGATTCAATCGAAATTTGCAACATGGATAGAGGAGGTATGTGGGATGATGCCACAAAAACAATTGCTGCCAATTCCATTGTTTTTTCAAGATACACACCGAGTCTCGTTTCTTTTGGGTCACACCTCGTATACAGCCGGCATTAGCATTATCCGATGTGCACCTCGAAAAAGTTACTGAACGGATTTTGCACATCATATGGCTCTGAAAAGAGCCATTTTTTTGTGTGTGTTTGTGAGTGAGTATCTGTGTGTATATTTGAATTCTAATAACACGTGTTTCCTACGCGTGTTTCCTCATTTCTCAATGAGGGGCGTAAAGGGTTAAAATTTAAAAAAAATATGGTCATATTCTTTGAAGCTTCCCCTTTAAAATGAGCCCTTCAGAACGATGGAGCCTCGAAAATTGACGTCTCTACGTTAATGAGTTGGAAAAGTACGCGAGGTACCCCCGTTTTAGGTAAGCGAGTCGTGTGCCCTGCTATTGTGATCGGTTTTTCTATACCACTGGTCTCAAAACGACACGATAAGACTTCCTATACGACTAAATGACTCTGTTCATACCTAGCAAAGCATATTAGTACTTACTTTAGGCGAATCACACATTTTTTAATCATAACTTCATTTATAGATAACAGTTCCTAAATTTATTGTTTATATTCTACAAAAAAGGCATCATCAGTTGATAGAATCTGCAAAAAAGTGGTGGGTTGTAATCAAAAGTGTGGAAAGCATTGTGTGTGGTATGAAAAAATATAATGACAACTAGTTCATATGCTAATTGTAAGCACAGAGTCATCATTATCATACGAGCAAGTTCTACCTTATTTTCTTTATTTGATAATGATTCAAAGCTGTGAAAACTTTTAGACCCAATTATTGATAATACTGTTGCCAAACGAACTTATAAATAATCGGTATATTTAATATATTCATTTTGTGTTACATAATTAAATGTTATGTTCAAATAAGATGATGCTGTCCATTCAAATAAATCTTTAGAAGTGAGAAATTAAATTACTAACAGTCTTTGCAAGCTAGCAAGACTTTTAATACTCCCTTCAATTCCATAGCATGGGCCCCCTATCATGAGTTGTTGTACAAGAATACCATTTTGCAAAAACACAGAAATCACTTAAATGATTAGTTGAATTAATAAAACTCTTTTTGCTTCTATATTGCATAGCTGTCCTATCAGACATGTTTTCTAGAACCTAATGACTTTTACGATTGTATTATTTTCAAACCGATGACCAAATAAATAGTTCACACTTACATCACTTTAGGATTAAATCTAACATAACTATAAATGTATCAATGGCCAAGAGTGAGTACTAATATACATTTCTAGACATGAACAGGGATATAAAATAACCAATCACAATAGCGGAGCACACGACTCATCTACCTGAAACAAGGGTACCCCACATCCTTTTCCAGTTTGTGGAGACATCAATTTTCAAGGCTCCATCGTACTTAAGGGCTCATTTTAAAGGGTAAGCTTCAAAGAATATGACCATATTTTTTTTAAATTTGAGCACTTTATGCCCCTCATTGAGAAAAACGCAAAAAAAGAATTTGTTTAAATTTTCCGACATTTTATAACAAATTGACAAAGTTAAAAAAAATATTTTAAAATAGCCCAATCCTTCATGAATAAAACAAAAAAACTTAACTAAATCAGTGGAGTAGTTTCTGAGAAAAAAATTCCTAAGTGAACCCTATTTTTGCCAAAATGGGCAAAAATTGCAAACTTTGAAGGCTTATCATTCCTTAACAAATTCGAAACCAGCAAAATGATGACTTAAACCCCCCCTAATTTCACATGGACTACAACACCCTAATTTCACATGGACTATAACATACTTCGATTAAAACAAAATCAGAGATGGTGACTTCCAAAAGTGATTGATTTGGCGTGAAATGACCTCAAGGTAATCATCACTTTAGATCATGTTTATGTGATTAAACATAAAAGATGTTGAAGATAATATTACCTGCTGTGTTACTTCGTTAGGTATATTTTCCTTAACATATGGAGCAACATTGACATATATTTTTTCATACAACTTGGCAGTTTCTTCTGATCTTGACCACAAACCTTCCGTATATGAATAATATACTATACCACCTACAATACTGGCTCTTACGGCAAACCTAAAAATATAACCTCAAATTTATATTTTATATTCATCATAACATGTAAATAATATAACAGTACAATTTTTAGATTTTAATATGCATACTAACCGAATTATAGCCATTACAAAAATATAAATTATATTAACACGTAAGTTTATGTCACTTTTCCGTTTGTTATACAAAAGCACGAAAATTACGTAAGATGTTTTAATGATATCCGGTTATACAATTCAATATTTATATGAAATATATATCAATTTTGTCTACACCTGTATGTTAAGATTCATACATAAAATATTTTTTAAATAAAGTACAACACTTTTATATTTGGGAACCGTATTTGAATATTCGTAAGAACTTTTTATGATTTGCAGCGTAATTTGTGGTATTAAACAGTGGACGCAGAGTAAACCAAAGAGTTGATACATATAACAAGAGGCGACACTAGACAAGGAAACCTACCTCCTAGAGAGAGATAGAGGACACAACCAATTTTGATTTGATTTTCCAAATCAAAAGAATCGGGGGTACACATGTGTATATTGTAGAAGTATGGTAGTCGAAAAAAAATAATTTAAACCTGCATATTCACCAGTAATTTATTTATAATAAATATTTTGTCATATCTCCGTAACATCTGTAATTTTATGTGATGTATAGTTTTTCATTTTCTTATAAGTTATTTATAATAATCATTTCCATAATACATATTCTTCAAATATATTTAGTAAAGCAATCATTTTGGTATATTTTTATCTTTCTCAAGTTTTCAATGTAGTAAAATTGATAAAAATACCTCAAAAAACAATATTAGTAATATAGGGAAAATTTATTAAAAATATATTCCAAATTATTAGAGGCTGATATGAAAATAGATTTGTTTGAATTAAATTTTCAGCTCGTTTGTGTGACCAATTTAGGTTTAGGTTTAGGTTTTTATTTTCTTCATGTTTGAAGATGGCGCTTTTTGGCCACAGACTGGCTCATTGCGCCCTGTGACTACGTTTCCATCGACTACGTTTCCATCGAGGGTCCAAATCGGGTCAGAGTCGGATTTGAGTCGCGGGTTGGAGTTGCGGCAGGGTTGAACATTACCAACTGCACAAAGTCAACTACCATATTCTGACATGTAAAGGAGAGCAATATTAATTTTACAATATCATAATAACATACAAAAATTATTTCTCAGATTACAAGATCACCGACAAAAAGTAATAATAACCTCTTTTACACCGATTAATACAACACGTGATACACAATGGCAATTTGAATAACCTCTTCTACACCGATTAATACAACACGTGATACACAATGCAATTTGGATTTGTTATGTTGGCAACACGAACTCGACTCTTGTCGTTTCCATCGAACCCAATTGAACGCTACCCTAAAATTTTGTAGGGTAGAGTTCAACTAAACCTTTGGTGTTTCCACCGTAAAAGCGCTCACCCCAACCCGACTCTAACCCGACTCTGACCCGATTTGGACCCTCGATGGAAACGTAGTCTGTGTGACCAATTTAAAAGATCAAAGATGCGGACAGAGAGTGTCGCCTCTGGTTTACTCTGTACTCTGTGTTATAGATATAATGTATTCAATGCTTTAAATTTTAAATCATGAGTATTTGACGTTAAACTCATTTTAGTCGAATTTTCTGTTTTAGAGTTTTCAAAATCTATATTTATCTCTATTATGAAGATCTATATGCGCATGTTTTTTCATGCATTTTTTCTACGTAATAATTATTAATTATGATAATTAGAAAATACTGAGTTAACATAACCACAAATTTTGTGTATGTAAACATATTTATATGAATATCTGTGTATCTTATATTTTGTATAATGTGGCCTCAAGACTATATTGAATTGAAGGTAACTATTTAATGTTTTATGTGGAATACTGTTTATTTTTTATTGTTAATTATTTTCATTATAATGTATATGAAAAATACATTATTATTTTTTAAAGTATATAGATAATCTACTAACTTGTGGGATATGTTATGAATATATGGATACTTCTGTTATAACATCATGTTCTCATAATTGTAAGGAAAAATTGTATTTTTATACTTTAATGTGAACATAACCAGCTTTATTTAATTATTGTTTTCTTCAAATTTTAGATTGCTCTTTGTGTATTAGAAAATATTTACATTATAAAACTCAATGTCCTGCTTGTTTTACGGAAACTTTTGAAAAAGACTTAAGAAAAAATAAAGTATTGGATGAAATTATAACACAATTTTTAAAAATCAAAGACAAATTAAAAATATGTGTACGAAGTCAAATAATGTTTATGCGTGATAGTGAAGCCGAAAATGTTTTAAATACACCAAAAGTAATGCGACAGTATAAAAATGTACATATGAATGATCAAGAGAATAATTCTAATTATAATAATACTAAATCCAGAATTGTTACCTCACCTTCTCTATGTGCGGAAAGAAATACATCTGGTCCTAGTACCAGTGGAAAACCTAGAATACCTTTAATGTTTACACCAAAAAATTATAATCGTACAAATGTAACAAATATGGAAGAAACCAAAGTTGTTATATGTCCTGTATGTAAAGTTACTGTTTCAGAAGTAAACATAAACAGACATCTTGATGATTGTTTGAAAAGGGAAGCAATAAAAGAGAAACCACAGATGTAAGAAAAATATTACTGATATTATCTTTAAATTATGCAAGTATATTTAATATTAGGATGTTATATTCTTCTGTTTAAGTTAATATTTTATTGATAATTATTAAAAGCATAATATATATTTATTTTCATAGAATAGAATCTAAACGTGAACCACTGCCAAAGTTAGTATTTAATCTAATGAAAGATGCTATGATAAGGAAAAAATTGAAAGAATTTAGCCTATCAACTCAAGGGGATCGAAGAGCTATGGAAGCTCGATTACAAAGATACATTGTTCTTTATAATGCAGAATGTGATAAACCAAATCCTAGATCAGTCTTAGAGTTGGTTAAACAATGTGAAGATGAGGAAAACCTGGAAAAAAAAATTAATAAAACCTCATTGTTTTTAAATGTAAATATTCAAAACTGTAATTATCTCAAATTTCATGAGATTAGATCTTTCATTTCACTTTTTACAATTATTTACTTTTTCAGAAATTACAAATTAATCGAAATACAGAACAAAGTATTATAGAGGATGAAAGAAAAAAGTATTGTAAGTTTAAAATTGTCTTTAATTATTTTATTTGCCCACAATAAAATATATAATGTTAATTTTTTTTTATTAGTGGAAGCACACAAAAATAGTTTTGAAAATTTAATTAAGAAAATTAAGAATACTGAGTCCCCGAAAAAATTGTCAGCAAGGCGCAGTTTATTGCGTGAATATCCAGATAATAATGAAAATATTTCGCGGCAAGCAGTGGCTGAAGATTTAGATGATTCAATGGTTAATACTGAAAAAAATGATTTTCAGTCTTTAGGTTCTGCCGTATACATTCAAGATTCTGATTCAGATACTTCCTGCCCCTTGCAAGTGTATTCAAATACTGATCTAAAAAAATTTCTTAATGATGAGTTATCTCCCGACAGTGGTAACAACAATGTCTCACATAATCAATCTGAGTTAAATTCTGAGGAATGTATTGGTAATAGTGAATGTAGTTATTTGTCTATAAAAACTAGTTTTCTTTCGAATGTATGTAACAATGTTTCGGCGCCTAGCGAAGAAATACATTCAGCAATGGAAACTTCATTTTCCAAACTCATGTCAAAGACTGATTCTAAAAATTCTAACACTTCAAGCTACAAGAAGCTATTACAAAGAAAGAAAAATTTGCCTATGAATGATAATATAAAACAAGCAGATTCTGTTATTTCTAATATGAGAGACAATTTTAAAAATATTATACATCAAGAGGAGGTAGAAGATGACAAATCAATACTTAATTTACAAGAAATTCAGCCTGATTTATCAAGTAACGACAGCACTGATAGTAAATTTAATTACGGTATTTAATTTTATTTTATTAAAATTTTAACACTATTTTATATCGTTAATAAAATATTAAATATCTATTTCCATATAAAATATAATTGTTTTCAAAATAATGAAATGTCAAATCGATTTGCAGGGAAAAGACGATCTACGCGTGGACTTTTAAATAAGAGCTTGACTAATACATTTAACTCAGAAAAACAAAATATTAGTGCACTTTCTGAATGTAGTGGAAAGCGTTTGTGCTCAAAAAGAAATTGCGATGTAATACAAAACGATCACCATACTGTTTCAAGTAAGAAGAAAAAAATTAAAAAGTCATCTAACAAGGAGAAATGAACGGGACATAATCTATAAAAAAGTTGTTAGGTTTAAGGATAATTGCTTTTACCTGTTTATCTTGGAGGATTTAATATATTTATACCTTAATTTATTTATAAATTATCGTTTTAGTATAGTATACTTAATTGCTTTCATGATGTTTTTTCTCTAGTTTGTTTTTAATCAATATACTTGCAATATGTATCTTATATAGTAATAATGGAGGACATGTTATTATAATGTAATTAATGTAATAAACTAAACGTATTGTACTATCCTTATTTTTATAAATTTTGACAGCTGTACTTTAAATGCTGTTTGAAAGCAATTATGTTCAGAAAATAGAAAACTTTTTTTTGGAAAATGCGCAACTTTTACACGTCATAGGTAAAGGTGGAACTGATTTATATAAAACGTTACTAAAGTTGGTCTCAAACATTGCATAGAAGAATATTTCCTGCTGAGTATGTATGTTTAGTAGGATGCTGACAAAGGGGCAGAAAGGGAATCTTGCCTTCCTTGGGGGAAGAAATATTTTTATCTCTATCATAGAAGGAAAAGGTTAGATTTTATTTTAATGCATCAGAGAGGAAAAAATATTCAATTATAAATATATACTAGTATTTTGTATGAAATAATAAACCTGACATCCATTTAAAGTAATAGAAAGTTTAGTACAAAAACTTAAGAACGACCTTAGGATTTTAGCGAGATCTCCGAGACTATTAAATCTGAAGGTTCTTTTGGGGACAAAGGACCCCGCACAGATCTTATGGAAAATGGCCCCCGGTTAAATTAGCTAAATTTTTTATATGATGTAGTTCATGATGTCCTGATCAAAAGTTCCAATGGGCTCAAGGTCGTAAGTTGAATAGTTTCCGAGATATGGAAGGTCAAAAGTCAATAATAGTTTCTTATTCGAAACTACCACGTTTGAGCATATCTGAGTGTAAGAAGCACTGTTGCGCACTGTCCATTTACTTGATCCCTTAAAACCCAATGGTAGTACTGTGGACCCTTAAAAAATATGACCCCTTGACGCTTTAACTCCCCTTCAGGAGTCAAAATAAAAAATCGCGCAAAAGGTAAAAAATGATTCTCTTTTTCTTTCATCGTATAAACATGAAGCACCGTCGGCATTAGCATTACCCAGTGTGCACCATGAGGAGGTTGCTCGATCGGATTTTGCACACTATGTGGCCCTAAAAAGGCCCATTTTTGTAGTTTTTTCTATTCGTCCATTAGAATTTCAACATTTATACTCTCTTGATACTCTCTATTAGCGGCATCTCTGCTGTATTTAAAAGACTGCCATCCGGATATTTAACATGCCTTTGGTGACGAGCAAATCCTAAATACCATAAAACACTTGCAACATGTGCGCATGTACCTAATGTTCTGGCATCGGATTGACAGGTGCAGTAGTAACCATTTATTATGTCGTCTTCTAGCTCCAGTTCATTTTCCGGAATGTAAGAAGTAAAGACTTGATGTTTCCTACGATTCCGAAATCATACGATTCCGAAATCATGAATAAATTCTGAGTCTTATAAGGTTGTTATCTACCAATGCAGTGTCAATCTGTAATTCTTCATCGTCCCTTTGCAGCTTATCTTGAATATAAGGAGGTGCGAGATTGACCTGATATACACCAATAGTCAAATCGCGCAAGTAATCAATATCCAGTTGAGGAAATCTGCGCACTTGATCATGTAGTCTCTACCACTGAGCGTTTCGGTATAACAGATTGTCTACCTCCACTCGTGCCTGAACAACATTGACGTCGTTCCTTCGTCGAAGCATATTTTTGGCTAATTCAATCGTTGCACTTTGCATATTGATAGAAGGATACCTATTATTGCTATATGATAGCACCACATATTCTATAGTAATCTCCAATATGTTTAGCATTCTGCACGTTAAACGTTTGAGCCAAGATTTTAAAGATTGCTTTAAAATGTCCGTTTCTGGATTCAACAATCCACCTTACTTTTGTAACAATCCGAGTATCATTTACTTCTAGAGTAGGTAACTGTCGTTGACCTCTTTCTAAAAAAGCAGGCATTTTATAAGCAATTCCTAAGCGCGTTCAAAAAGGTGTACAATCTCAATATCCTCTATCGATGAGAAAAATATCGCCAGTCTGGAACCAGTTATCTAGATCTTGAGCATCTCTTTCGAATTCATTAACGAGTATTGAGGCACCATTGTTATATGAATCTGAGAAATACGGACCCAACATGGATAAAATATATCCATCTGGTGCCAAAATGATGGTCGGCTTTAATAAATGTCTTCCTTTGTGAAGGGAATAAGATTGTCTCAAGACACGAAAGTTGCTACTCTTGTGAATGTAAGCATAGGTCGCATCACATATAACAATGCCTTTCGGAATGTTAGGTTCGTTATTAAATAGTTCATTTGCAAAGGGTGTTGTATGGCAATTTATAAACTTCTCTCTACTAACAGCCTTAACGCCAATGTTTCCAAGAACAAATCTTCCTTCCAATGATTTTCTGACATTACTTATCGCCATACTAATAGTTTATCTGCTTGGATAATTGAAAATTACCCTTAAAAATTCATCGGATAACCCTTGTCTTAACTTGCATAAGAATGTCATTAAATCTTTCTTCGAAATGTTTCTAACATATGGATCTGGAACAGGATCACAGAACATGTGGAGATCTTGAAACTGTTCTTTATTCAAAGAAAATAAGCACGAGAATTCTTCATCGTCAAGATTATCGAGATCTTCTAATCTCCTCTGATGGTTTGCTTCTTTGCGAAGTTGTTCGAGAAAAACTTGTAACTCAGGGCCTGGAATAACATAAGGTCGATTGACGAAAGTCAATCCTGGTATGATATCCAAAATAATGCGGCCATCATGATTGAGATGATGAGCACAACAACGAGCACTATCAGGAACATAAATATTTCCTTTAATAAAGATATGGACCCTATTTTCCATAGATATACGAACTGTATTATCCACTACTTCACAAAAGATGCAGGCACGATTATGCTTCTGTTTTACAATATTCAATCGTAAACAGGTTGGGTTATTTCTAATTATTCCAAGTTCATTTGTAAGAGACTGGTTGCAATTAAAATAAATGCGAGTGCCATTTTGAATGTCTATATTCGGTAAGTTCATAGAGTCACGGCGCGATATTGCAATCTGTTGTCTAGCTTCATCATCGCCTATTCGAGGCATTTGCCTTACGTTTCCCAAAAGATTACAAACAAAACATCTGTAACAACCCTGAGACCTAAGTTCAGTTTATTACAAGCGCTAAAAGGTAAAGAGCGGCTTTTACCCCTAAACGACTCGATTTTACAAATGAAGATTGTGGGATTCGTGTGGTGTGCGGTTAAGGAGTGAAATCCACAGGTCAAAATCTTTCAACAATTAGATTTATTCAATAAACGATAAGAAAATGAAACTAACAATTGACAATAACAACAAATAAAGAAATATATATATATATAAATTATAAATGATTGATTAGTACAAAGAACTAAATAGATCTTGAAATAATAATAATAATAAGAAATAATAGAAATTGATAAATTAAACAATATGTAACAGATAATTATGAATTTAATGATATGAGACTCGCTGGTCAGTACTTTATATTGGACCGTATCTAATTTAACTTCGCATTTGTAATATTAACTAAATTTGATATTCCTTATATATATATTCGATTTTCGTGTTCGAAGTTATCGCAGTGACAAGACTTTACTTGATTAACACGCTTATAATTTATAATGAATCCTACCTAAGTGTGATTCGGTTTCTAACTTAATATAAATGAAATTTTACAAAATTAGTAATGTTAGCGCTTTTATAGTCTACCGCCGCGAGGAATTCGACCTAAGTGAGATTCTCTAAACGTATTAGGATACGTTTTCGCAAAATTAGACAGATTTATCTACTATCTAACGCGGTGTAGTCGACTACGGAAATGTACGCTAGAGACAGAACAATATTCTTT